GAGCCCGAGATTTATGTTTTCATGAGCTATAACCTACAATTATTATCAATTGTTGTTCAGTTTGATCCAAAGAAATTTTTTTTGCAGAGCTCAAAATTCACAATTTTAAGAGCTACAACCCCATGAATTTTGGTCATATTTAGACATTTTGACTAATTGGATGAATAATTTTACGGTGGCTAAGATTCACAATTTTATGAGCTATAACCCATAATTTTTTATCATCTTTGGTCGTTTTAACCTACTGGTAAATATTTTTATGGAGTTCAAAAGTCATATTTTCATGAGCTATAATCCATGATTTTTGTAAATTTTCATTCATTTTGACCCAAGGAAAAAAATTCGCGGACTTCGAAATTTATGACCATATAAGCTACATCACAAGATTTTTTCCCATTTCTAATCGTTTCCACCTATTGGCAAAAAAAATCACTGAGTCTAAAATTCATTATTTTTTGAGCTATAACTTAGGATTTTGGGCATTTTTAGCTGTTTCAACCAATTGGATAAATAATTTTATGGTGGCCAAAAATCTAGATTTCATGAGCTATAACCTACGATTTTTGGCCATTTTTAGTCATTTCAAACCATTGTCACATAATTTTGCAGCATCCAAAATTCACTATTTCAAGAGTTATAATACACGAGTTTTGGTCATTTTTAGTCATTTCGACCCATTGTGAAATAATTTCAATTCATAGAGTCTGAGATTTACTATTTCACAAGTTATAACCATAATTTTTTCTCATTTTTATTCATTTCGATCCATTAGTAAATTTTTTTTGTGGAGTCCCAAATTCAAGATTTCGTGAGCTAACCCACGATTTTTTACTATTTTAAGTTGTTTCGGCCCATTGGGAAAAAGTTTCATGGCAACCGAAATTCACGATTTCATGAGGTAAAGCGTGAGATACAACCCATAATTTTTTATCATTTTTATACATTTTGATCCATTGACAAAAATTATTTCAGTTGTCAAAATTCACAATTTCATGAGCTACACATTTTTTTCTATTTTTAGTCATTTCGACTCATTGGCAAATAATTTTACAATGACCAAAATTCACAATTTAGTAAGCTAGATCGTGAGCGACCTATGATTTTTTCCTTTTTTGTACATTTTGATCAATTGATAAAAAAAATTGTAGTCGTCAAAATTCATAATTTTATGACCTATAACCCATAATTTTGTGGCCATTTTTAGTTGTTTCAACTAATTAGGTAAATAAGTTCAAGATGGACAAAATCTTAGATCTTGTGAGCAATAACCAATGAATTTTGGATATTTTTATTCATTTTTGATTGATTGCCAAATAAATCATGAGCTATAACCTACAATTTTTGTCTATTTTCATTCATTTCGACCCAAAGGAGGAAAAACTTCGCAGAGTCCAAAATTCACGATTTCAATAGCTACACCCCACGAATTTTGGTCATTTTTGGTTGTTTTGACTAAACAGATGAATAATTTTGTGGTGGTCATAATTCACGATTTCGTGAGCTATAACCCACGATTTTGTCCATTTCAGTTGTTTCGAACTATTAGCAAATAATTTTAACAGAGTTTAATATTCATGTTGTCATAAGTTATAAACCACAACATTTGTCTATTTTCGTTCATTTTGATCCATGGAAAAAAATTCCGCAAAGCCCAAAATTTACGATTTTCATAAGCTATAACCTAGGATTTTTTATCAATTTTAATTATTCAACTCATTGGCAAAAAATTTCATTGCTACCAAATTCTGCAATTTCGAGAGCTATAACCCATGATTTTGGCAATTTTAGTCATCTCAACTAATTGGATAAACTATTTTGTTGTGACCAAAATTCTAGATTTCGTTAGCTATAACTCATGACTTTTGGTGATTTTTTGTTATTTTAGCTAATTTGACAAATAATTTAGTCGTCTCTAAAATTAATATTTTCATAGTTTACCTTGATTTTTTTTCCGTTTCTTTTCTTTTCGACACCAGTGAAAAAATTTCGTTCCTAAATTCATGAATTTTAATAGCTCAAGAAATTATGATTTTTTTGTCTTTTTTAGTTATTTCGATCAATTGGATAAGTAATTTTATGATGACCAAAAATCTAAATTTTGTGAGCTATAACTCACAATCTTTGGCCATTTTTATTTGCTTTGAACTATTGGCACATAATTCTATAGGGGCTAAAATTTACGATTTCTAGAGTCATAACGCATGAGTTTTGGTAATTTTTAGTCATTTCAACACATTAATAAATAATTTCGTGTCATCCAAAATTCACTATTTCACGAGCTATAACCTACAATTTTTTCTCATTTTTATTCGTTTCGACCCATTGGTAAAAAAAATTGTGGAGTCCCAAATTTAGGATTTCGTGAGCTATATCCCATGATTTTTTGCCTTTTTTAGCTGGTTCAACTCATTAACAAATAATTTCATGGAGTTCAAAATTCATGTATTTATGAGCTATAATCCATAATTGTTATTAATTTTCATTAATTTTAACCTCATATAAAAAATTTCATAAAGTCTAAAATTCACGATTTCATGAGCAATAACTCACACGATTTCAAAAGCCATAACCCACGAATTTTGACCATTTTTAGTCGTTTCGAGCAAATGGATGAATAATTTTGTGGTGGCCAAAATTCACGGTTTTCTGAGCTATAACCCATGATTTTATCCATTTTTAATCATTTCGACCCACTGACAAATACTTTTGTAGAGTTTAAAATTCATGTTTTCATGAGCTATAACCCAATATTTTTGTCAGTCTTTATTTTGATCTAAGGAAAAAAAATTGTAAAATTCAAAATTTAGGAATCATGAGTTATAACCCTCGATTTTTTTTCTATTTTTAGTCATATCAACCAATTGGCAAAAAAATTTGTTGTTGCCAAAATTCACAATTTTGAGAGTTATAACCCATGATTTTGGATATGTTTAGTCATTTCGACTAGTTGAAGAAATTATTTCATGGTTACCAAATTTCTAGATTCTGAGAGTTATAACTCATGACTTTTGGCCATATTTATTTATTTCAACTTGGTAAATAATTTAGCAGAAAATTTATGTTTTCATGAGCTATAACCATCTACGTTTGTAATATCCCAACCCTTGAGAGGGTGATATGATTAGTATTGATAGATTTGATTGGAATACTCGTACCACCAAGATGCATCTTCTTTTCGGGAACCCAGCTCTTAGAAACTCCAAAGTTAAGCGTGCTTGGCCTGGAGAAAGTCTAGGATGGGTGACCCTCATGGGAAGTTTTCCAGGAAGCACGTGAGTGAGGACAAAACATGCTGAAAAGACATGTGATGGTTTGTGAGGCCAGTCCATCAGATCTAATAGCGTACCGACTCTGGGATTCCGGGGCGGGGCGTTACAAATTGTATCAGAGCAAAGCCAACTGGAATTGTGAGAGCTAAGTGCTATGCGGCGCAAAGTGCTACGTCAAGAGGGCGGGAGCCACCTCTTGAGGCAGTAGGAGCCACCTCTAGAATCTCACACGGATGGTACGGTCTTGGATGATATGATTTGGCGCAACGAGGACGTTGCGAGTTTAAGTGGGGGAGTTTGTAATATCCCAACCCTTGAGAGGGTGATGTGATTAGTATTGATAGATTTGATTGGAATACTCATACCACCAAGATGTATTTTCTTTTCGGGAACCCAGCTCTTAGAAACTTCAAAGTTAAGCGTGCTTGGCCTGGAGAAATTCTAGGATGGGTGACCCCCCTGGGAAGTTTTCCAGGAAGCACGTGAGTGAGGACAAAACATGCTAAAAAGATATGTGGTGGTTTGTGAGGCCGGTCCATCAGATCTAATAGCGTACCGACTCCGGGATTCCGGGGCGGGGCATTACAACGTTCTTTTCAGCCCAAGGGAAAAAATTTCACAGAGTCCAAATTTCCAATTTTATGAGCTTTAACTCATGATTTTTGTCCATTTTCATTCATTTCGACCCAAGAAAAAAAATTCACATAGTCCAAAAATCATGATTTCATGGGCTATAACCCATAAAATTTGGCCATTTTTACTCATTTCCACCCAATGGCAAATATCTCCACGAAGTCTAAAATTCATGATTTCATAAGCTGTAACCCACGAAATTTGGGCATTTTTAGTTGTTTCAACCCATTCATAGATAATTATGCAGTGACAAATATTCACATTTCATGAGCTATAAACCCATAAATTTTGGCTATTTTTACTCATCCACCCAATGGAAAATATCTTCACAAAGTCTAAAATTCATGATTTCATGAGCTATAACCCATAATTTTTGGGCATTTTTAGTTGTTTCGACTCATTCACAAATAATTTTGCAGTGGCAAATATTCATGTTTCATGATTTATGATTTTTAGCCATTTTAATCATTCCTATCAATTGTCAAATAATTTTGTGATATTAAAATTTTATATTTTCATGAGCTATAACCAACTATTTTTGTGAGTTTTCGTTCATTTCGAACCAAGTGAAAGGATATGTGATGCACATAAAATCACACATCTCAAATATAGCCACGATATGCATCTTGCATAGGATTTGTATCCTTTTTACTATCAAAAAGTAGTAGATAGACCGGTTTGATACTCGTTGATATATTTCGTGGTTGGCTGTGTTGCCTTTGTGTGTAAACTAGGAAAATAATGCAATTTATGGGGGTATGATGAGCGTTAGATATAAAATAAATATTCATAACCACCCACTACGTAAATCAACAACTATAATTAATATAGTGGTCTCTCAACTACTTTATTGATAATAGTGACGATCTAAATCCCATTCACCTGGGCAGACATCTCAAAGAAAAATCTAAGAGATAAAATTTTGGTGGAGAATGCTCTAAGTGTACTTAAATTTATAGGAGCTACACTCGTGCTAGTTAGAATGCAGTAAGTATAATATTTTTGTTCAGTAAAAAATTCAACGTCCTTCCTCTTACTCGCTAATTACAATGAGAAATCAATCATGACCATCCTCCCTTCAAAACTCATGTCTTACAGGTGATCGGCATGAGCATGAGAAACGAACTCCGCGGCCCAAACCAAACCCGGCCTGCTTGGTACCGAAACGTCGCTCGCGGAGCCCAAACGATCCACAAGGCCAACCCAAACGCTCTCGTGATAGTCTCGGGCCTAAGCTTTGATACGGACCTAAGCTTCTTGGCCCAGAGCCCACTTAGAAATAACTACGACAACAAGCTAGTCCTGGAGGCTCATTGGTATGCATTCAGTGAGGGCAAGAGACAAGAATGGGCCGAGAAGCCGCTGGCCCAAGTTTGTCCCGGCTCGGCCGAGAGATTTGACGCCCGAGCAGGCTTTTTCACTCGCAGGTAACGTTTCAAACGAATCGAACATTGAGTTTTTCATATTTGTTTGATCGAAATCTTCGAACGCGTATCTGAGAATTCTAATTTCCTTCTCCAGATTTGTAGAATCTAAATTCGTGTATGAATGCGTCTCTAATATCAATAGGTAGACATATAGTTTAATCCCAAATACTCCATGAATGTGAGAGACTATTTTTATTTGATTAAACTACTTGTTTCGTAATAGCATTCAAATTCATCATTGGAAATTATTCATGTTGTACAAGTCTATAATTTGAATATGCTGTTTAAGTTTGAATCGAGACTCTTATCTCTTTCAAGTTAATAAAAGGGATCAAATATCTCGCGATGAGCGAATAACATAAATTATAAGGGGTTAAATTCTAAACGAATGTTCGACATCAAAAGAGTTGAATATGCAAATGCTCATATGTGATTCGTTTGATAAACAAATACTAGAATTTATTTGATTCCTCTTAAATGCTCTTCTGAACAAATACCAGACTATTTAGTAATTATTCGATCAATTCTTGCAGGGTAAACGGAACGGTACCTTTGTTCGTAAGCGAGTTCGGTGGCGACCAACGGGGGACTAATCGGGCCGACAACAGTTTTTTAAGTTGTTTTATGGCCTTCGCTGCTGAGAGAGATCTGGATTGGGCCTTATGGGCCTTACAAGGAAGCTACTATTGGAGAAGTGGGGTCGAAGGGTTTGAGGAGACCTACGGGGTTCTCGATTCGGGCTGGGCCCGGCCCAAGTACCCAAAATTTAGAGAAAAATTTCGGTTCATTCAAGAAATGATCCAAGGTATGGCTTGGCTAATGCACTTACTCGCTTAGTGATTTTGTGCGATAGTGTGACTTTGTTTCGAATTCTTTGTTGTAGACCCTCGATCATCTACTGGATTTTATCAGATCATCTATCACCCTCCGACCGGTCAGTGTCTGGCTCATGACAGGGAAAACAACGTCGTCGTGCTGAGAGATTGCGAGGGTCGTGCACGTTGGAGGTACAACGGAGAAGGAGACCCGATACTTTTGGTTAGTAACGCTACGGTTTGTTTGAGATTAGTAGGGGTTGGACAACCAGTGCAGGTTTCAGAGAAATGCGACGATACGCAGAGTTTCTGGAGAGTAGGATCGAGTGCAGGATTCGGATTGATCGGAGAGTATGCGAACGGAACAGAATTGTGTATGGAGAGAGATTCGGCGGACGCTTCTCTAGTTTTGACAAGGGAGTGTATTTGTCGCCACGGTTCTGCTTGTTCCGATGACCCTAGGCATCAGTGGTTCAAAATAATTTCTTCGAACATAGTTTAATTAGATATTATACAGTTTGTTTTGAGTTTTATTATAGTGTGAGGACGAGTGTTACTTCTGTCACGCTGGTCAAGTGACGGTGGCATCGAGTGATGATTGTTTACTCTCTTTTTTTTCGTTTAATTTTGGAAAGAGGAAAAAAAAAAATACAGCGACTGAATCAAGATTTAACTTATATAATTGAACTTCATTTGCTCCCATTGCGGTAGTTTCTATTTGTCTTCTGAAGTTCTTACTGTTTCTACCACATATATATTATCATATGCATTTTCTATAAGATGAGAGTCATTTTATGATAAGCTAAAAATGTAAGGGTTGCTTTAGGATAGGTCATAATGACCATATTGATTATGTTGGATTTAATCTAATAAATCTATTTGTGGGCACATATGATTAATCAATGTGTATTGCTATCTTTCAGGATAACCCACTAAAGTGATCAATTAAGTTGGGTTAATGGGTATTTAAATATAATCATGGGGTTATATGTGCAGATACCAGGTTGTAATTGTGATTTATTGATGGGCTAAATTACAAAATTACAACATCTATAAATAAGGGGTTATGGTCCCTAACCTAGGGTTACATTCTCTAATTCTCTACACCCCCATCTAGCTAGAGAAATTCGGATTTAGAGAAACCCTAAGGTTAGAAGATCCAAAACCCATCTCAAGGTTCATCCATGGATTCAGGTATAAGCTTCCGCTCTTTTGATTATTGTTAATCTCTTTGAATTAATCATGGCTATATGGTTTTAGATCTCAAAAGTTTTGATTTAGATCTAACAAGTGGTATCAGAGCCACCTTGATTAATTCTTAGGGATTTAAGTTTTATTGGGTTTTTGATCTTAAATCACTGGTTAAAGATTCAGTTTTGTTCTCGGATGAACAGTAATGTTCGGTGAACAGTAGCAAAATTTTTTTTTCCGGATGAACAGTAAAGTATTTTTCGGATGAACAGTACCTGAAAAAAACGCCGGTGAACAGTAACTTTTTGGAACTTTTTTGGATTTTCCTTTGATTTTTTTTTCTTCAATTTTTCTTGGATCTAGATCAAGAAATTTTTTCCGATTCTGGATCTGGTTTTGAAAATAAAAATCGAGGAATTTTTTGAGTTTGGCGGCGGCGGTTTCAGTTTGAAACCCTAAGGGTTCATGGCGAAAATTAAGGAGGTGGTTACCTCAAACGAACCTCGCGTTCGCTCAATTTTAACCGAGCTTCGCGCTCAACGAACCTCGCGTTCGTTCAATTTTAACCGAGCTTCGCTCTCAACGAACCTCGCGTTCGTTCTAAGGTGATCGCGTTCGTACTTCAGACGAACCTCGCGTTCGAACTTCAGACGAACCTCGCGTTCGTACTTCAGACGAACCTCGCGTTCGTACTTCAGACGAACCTCGCGTTCGTACTTCAGACGAACCTCGCGTTCGTACTTCAGACGAACCTCGCGTTCGTACTTCAGACGAACCTCGCGTTCGTACTTCAGACGAACCTCGCGTTCGTGCTTCAGTCGAGCCTCGCGTTCGAACTTCAGACGAACCTCGCGTTCGTACTTCAGTTGAACCTCGCGTTCATTTTTTTTAACGAACCTCGCGTTCGTTCCCAAGTTGAACCTCGCGTTCTTTTATCAAACGAACCTCGCGTTCGTTCATTTTCAGACGAACCTCGCGTTCGTGCTTAAGTGAGTCTCGTACTCAATACAGTCGAACCTCGCGTTCGAAGTTAAGGGAACTTCGTGTTCATTATGGTTAAGCCTCGGCTTTTCATGGGTCCACTTTGGTATACTTAATTTATTCAATTAAGTTATGGGCCCTAATTAAGCTATGAGACCCCAATTAAGTTTTTGGAAATTCAGTTGATTTAAATTAAAATTTTTTAATTTAAATCTAATTCGGTTTTTAATCAAGTATTTAATTCAAATATTATGACACTAAGGTATTAATGTTGTCTCTCACTCCAATTGATTAATTGAAACAAGAAGTTGCCAAAGTAACCTCTCTTGTGTAGATTGTTCATGAGGAATGTGAGATGTTTGTGTGTATGCTTTCGTGTAAATATTTAATCGGCCCAAAGGAAGGTTAATATTTATTTAGACTGTATACACATCTGCGATGATAAGCGTGTGACAATTATAAGGTTTACATGTGAATAATGAATCGATCCAAAGATAGTTTCATTATTTGACATGAGTTATTGTCAATGTTTGATCATTGCAACAAGGTATCACTTACAAGTTAATATTACTGTCCAAAGACTTGATATTAATGTTGTGCCGGTATCTTGGATGGGGATTGTCATTATTTGAATTTTATTGATTATGGTTATTGATGTGAGCATTTTTGTTTTATTTCAGCTAATGCATCTGCTGCAACAATTTCTGCTAACATCAACTCAATTCCCATGCTAAATGGGACAAACTTCAAGGTTTGGAAAGAGAACATATTAATTGTTCTTGGCTGCATGGATCTTGACTATGCATTAAGAACTGAACAACCCCAACCTCTCAATGCGGATAGCACTCCTGATGCAAAGAAGGAGCATGAGAAGTGGGAGCGTTCAAATCGCATGAGTCTTATGATCATTAAGCGCGGCGTTCCGGAAGCCTTCAGGGGCATAGAATCCGAAGGGATTACTAAGGCTAAAGATTTCCTTGCCGAAATTGAGAAGCGTTTTGCGAAAAACGATAAGGTAGAAACAAGCACGCTTTTAGCTCGCTTGATTTCAATGAAGTATAAGGGCAAAGGAAATATCAGGGAGTACATTATGGAAATGTCTCATATTGCTTCAAAGCTTAAGGCACTTAAACTCGATCTTTGTGACGAGTTATTAGTGCATCTGGTTTTGTTGTCTCTTCCTGCACAGTTTAACCAATTTAAGGTCAGTTATAACTGTCAAAAGGAGAAATGGACTCTAAATGAGCTCATTTCATACTGTGTGCAAGAAGAAGACAGGTTGAAGCAAGATAAGACAGAAAGTGCTCATTTGGCCTATGCCTCTAAGGATAAGGGCAAGAAAAGGAAGAATGATAAGGAAGCTGCTAAGGGTCCAGTTGAGAAGAAACAACATAAGGATAATCAGGGTTGTTTCTTCTGTAAGAAGCCTGGACATGTAAAGAAGGACTGTACAAAATATCACGCCTGGCGTGATAATAAGGGTACGTTCCTTGCTTTGGTCTGTTCTGAGGTTAATTTAGCTTCAGTACCTAGAAACACTTGGTGGTTAGACTCTGGTGCTACTACTCACATAAGTGTTTCTATGCAGGGTTGCCTGAGCTACCGAAAGCCAAGTGATGTTGAAAGACACATCTTTGTGGGCGACGGACAATCGGTAGATGTGGAAGCAATTGGGCACTTTAGGTTGTTGTTAGGAACTGGTTATTATTTGGATTTAAAAGATACTTTTGTAGTACCGTCTTTTAGACGGAATTTGGTTTCTGTTTCTGTATTGGACAAATCAGGTTATTCTTGTTCATTTGGAAACAGTCAATTCAGTTTATCTTTTAATTCAAATGTTGTGGGAACCGGTTACTTGAGTATTTATGACAACCTATATTTGCTTGATACAATTGCTTCTTACAATGAATCCTTGCATGTGGAATCACGTGGTACTAAGCGTAAATTAAATAAGGAAAATTCGGCGTCATTATGGCATAAACGCTTGGGTCATATCTCAAAAGGTAGAGTTGAGCGTCTTGTGTCTGATGGCATTTTGAATTCCCTTGATTTTTCGGACTTCGACGTATATGTTGAATGTATCAAGGGAAAACAGACCAAAGTGAAGAGATTAGGTGCCAACAGATCTTCGAATGTCTTAGAATTGATACATACGGATATTTGTGGGCCATTCCCTACGGAATCCTGGAATGGTCAACAATATTTTATATCATTCATAGACGATTACTCACGTTATGGGCACCTATATCTTATTCATGAAAAATCTGAGTCTCTGGACATGTTCAAAGCCTATAAAGCTGAAGTTGAGAATCAACTCAACAGAAGAATTAAAACCGTCAGATCTGATCGTGGTGGTGAGTACTACGGTAGATATGATGGTTCAGGTGAACAACGTACAGGACCATTTGCTAAGCATGAATGGTGTAGCTGAAAGACGAAATAGGACTCTTAAGGATATGGTAAGAAGTATGATTGCTCATTCTTCTTTACCAGAGTCACTCTGGGGAGAAGCACTTAAGACAGCAGCTTACATTCTGAATAGAGTGCCAAGTAAAGCAGTTGCTAAAATACTTTATGAGCTTTGGACTGGTCGAAAGCCCAGTTTAAAGCATTTACATATTTGGGGATGTCCAACTGAGGCAATGCCTTATAGGCCAAATGAAAAGAAATTGGACTCCAAAACAGTTAGCAGCTACTTTATTGAATACTCTGAACGCTCTAGGGGCTATAAGTTTTATAATCCCACTATAAGGAATATTTTTGAGACGGGAACAACAACATTCTTTAAGGATGTTGAGTTTGGGGGGAGAAATAAGGTTAGAGACATTAGTTTTGAGGAGGAATTGGCTTCAGATCCAATCCATACAGTTACTTTTGACAATATTCAGGTTCCTATACCTGTTGTTGCTCAAGAAGTAAATCCGGAACCTCAAGATGATAATGTTGAACAACTCCCTGTTCCAGAAGAACAAACTCAACAACCTCAAGAACCAGTGCCATTAAGGAGATCCACGAGAGAAAGGAGAAATGCTATTCCGGATGATTATATTGTATTTCTCCAAGAACATGAGGAAAGTAGTGGAATGTTAGAAGATGATCCAATCAACTTCTCTCAGGCCATGAAAAGTTCTAACTCTCAACAGTGGATTGATGCCATGAATGAAGAGTACAAGTCTATGCAAGACAATAAGGTTTGGGAACTTGTCCCATTACCAGAAGGTGCAAAACCAATTGGTTGTAAATGGATTTTTAAAACCAAGCGGGATGCAAATGGTAATGTGGAGAGGTATAAGGCACGTCTTGTGGCTAAAGGCTATACTCAAAAGGAAGGCATTGATTATACAGAGACTTTCTCTCCGGTTTCATCGAAAAACTATTTCAGAATAATCATGGCATTTGTTGCTCATTATGATCTTGAGTTACATCAGATGGATGTTAAGACTGCATTTCTCAATAGAGACATTGATGAGATGATTTATATGGTGCAACCAGAAAACTTTGTGTCAGGAGACCCA